TTTACATTGTCCATTGATCCCTCTTCTTATTTGCGAAACAATCTATAAACTTATCTCGAATGAAATTAAAATCTAAAATAAAAAAAAATATATATATAATTCCTATAATTAATTACCCTTTATTTATAGATTAAGTAATTGTGAAACGCATAAACGTGTATACATATATATATCAAAATCAAAACCAATCAAATATTCGCGAACGTCTATTGATTTTCAAATAAAAAAGAAACAAAAAATAAATCTCTCAAGATGAAATTTGAACGAGACACTATACAAAATAATTGGAACAAAAAACAAAAAGAATTAGTTTTGACAAAATCAAAAAGTAAAAAAAGCTTCGAGAGTGACAGAGAGAGCAATTAAGTTTCCGCATGATTCAACAAGAGTAAGAGAGAAAAAGAGAAAGAGAGAGAGAGAAAGAGAGATGCAAAAACATCTTAAAGCACCTTGTTAAAGCTCCATCTTTCTTTCTTTTTCTATCTCTTTTTTTTCTCCCTCTCTCTTTCTCTTTCGCACTCTTAACTCCTTCGATCGTAAAACGTGCTTCGTATCGACGGAGACAAGCGGAAACGCACGATCGATCTGAGCTTACGAACTAGTATAGTGTTAGTAACAGAATCCTCATCTCTCTATACGAAATTGCGTTACTCTCTCTCTAACTTCTCCTTCTCTCATAGATATACTTTAATACATAAGTTCCCCATCATTGACATCTACTATATATATATATATATATATATATATATAAATAATTTTCATATCTTATGTGTATATTAATTAGTATTGGCTTTAACACGAATGTTTCTTTTTTTTTTTCTGTAATATAAATAACATATTATTTTTTAAATTTATTATAGCTGTAATATATACGAAATGGTGATTTTTCTCCATTATATTTATATGTTTGATGATGGAAATTATTCATACTTTATATGTAATATATTTATAAATACTAGTTTTATACATTTTCTACAAGTATTTTGAGAACTTGTAGAAGATACGAATTTGTTTACTGAATATATAAAGAGAGGAGAAGGTAAGGGTATTACGTCGTCGTTCGTAAGCTTCAAGTGTAAGAAAAGAGAAAAATAGATAAAAGACAGAAAGAAAAGATAAAAAAGATCAAAGTATCGTCGAATCGTTTGATATTGAAAAATATTCTGAGATGACCTATTTCTCTTTTTTCTTCTTTTTTTTTTTTTTCTTTCTTTCTTTCTTTTTCTTTTTTTTATTCACCAGACTCTTGTAAAAATAACAATAAAAGAAGAAGAAGAAGAAGAAGAAGAACAAAAAATGGGTTGAGAAAGACTCGAGAACGACTTTGTTGCCAAGAGAAAAAAGAAAGGGGAAGTGGAAAGAATGATAAAAGTAGTTTTTTTCTTTTGTGTTACACCTTACTTATATACATATCTCTATGTAAATATATAATTTATACATGTATATGTTAGATTGACCAGTAAGATATTCAATTAAAAATACTCATTTTGTTTATTTCAAAATGTTTGCTATTTCATATTTTTGTTTAATATTAAAAATAATACTTTTTATAGACATCTTTTGAAATAATTTCTACTCAAATAATGCNTGTGTTTTAATTAATATATATACATATTAAATGTGATCGATCATTATATTAAAAGAAAAAAAAAAGAAACGTAGTTATATTTTCTCTAATATATTATAATATAATAAATGTATGATTTTTTATTTTCTTCAATTTAAAATTATCCATAGATTTAAAACGATCGAGAGATCAAGCGTTATATTATATATTTAAATTAATCTGATCTTGATTGATTTTAAAGAAGTTTCCATTAAAAATCTTTACAAATAATATATAATTCATTGATGAATATAATAGAAAGAAGGAAGAAGAGAGAAAGACAGAAGTTAGAAGATGTCTGGTCTTCTAATGTGACCGATGATAGGGTCAGGACACGGGGTCGTCGTTCGCAGGTGAGTCCTGGAAAGCAGTGGTTCTCAATATCGAGTCCTTCGGTGCAAGGAATCGATCGTTCACAACTCCCCTCCTCCTCTCTTTCTCTTTCTTTCTAAAACACATACAAACCTTTCTCTCTCTTTATCTCTTTATCACACACACACACACACACACACATACACCGTTTTTCTCTTACATGTCAATCAGAATTTTGGATAGCCGATTGATGAGTTAAAACCAAAAACAAATTTTCTGGGACAACCAATTCTTTTTACTCATTTTTCTTATACAAATTTAAATAACTTTCGTTCATTTCCTTTATCTTTTTAATCTTTTACTCTTTTGTCACTTCACTGTAGATCACTTAAATGTTCTTACAATAAAACGTTTAACGTCATATTCTGTTGGTTAAATAAAAAATAAGAAAAGTTGTTAGCTTTTAATATAAGGTACCTATTACTACTATCCGTGTTAAGGGTTTGATGACTTTTAATCGAGTTTCACGATAAACTAGTGGAAAACTTTCATACCGTTCGATCTACTCGATAATTCGACGTCTAACCAAGAAAATAATAATAATAATAATAATAATAATATATATCTAAGAAAGATGATGAACTTGTTCGATCGATTTTTCATTCTCCTATCTGTAAATCCTTTCTTTTTTTAATCTGTCGTTTATAGCAATATATATCATTTCGAATATCTGTACTTTTTTATATATATAAAAAAAAGAAGAAGAAGAAATAAATAAATGAAATATAAAATTAATATCAAATTAAATAACTCGTTCGAATGATTTTATTATTATTATTATACTACGTTTGTTAATTAAATAAAATACATAAATTTATGGAAATAAAAAAACGATCGAAATTAAACGACACGTAGTTTAGTGAAAATTGCAAAAGGTGAGAATCGAATAGCGGCCATGGATGAATTAAGGTTCGATTGATTTTAAACGTGGACTATCCTTGCCCGACTTTGTTGACCTGCGCTTTACGAATCCTTCGCGTCCGAACAACGATTAAAACCTACCGTAAAATAGTCTTTTTTTGTTTATCTCGATTGCTTATCGATAATATACATATATATATAAATCACACATTAAAACAAACAACGATAATTAGAATATACTACAAAGGGTATTTATATTTTGTCACGAAACACGATAAAGATCTAAATCAAACACTTAAGATTTAATTTAAAAATAGAGATGTGTCTGATATTTAATTAATTAAATATTGGATATAATTAATTTTTGTTTCCGCATAAAAAACATTACATTTTGATTATTATTCGATTGCGATTTTTTTTTTATTCTGATTAATTTAAATATTACTTTTTTATGTATGTATTTTTATATATATATAATATAATTAACTTAATTTACAAAAAAAAAAGGATTTATTTGACAAATCGTTACTTCTGTTGTTACGTAAACATAACTAATCAATCTCGAATGTAACTAAAATACATTGAAAACGGTGGTGGAGAGACACAGAATCCAATTATCTCGACTAATATTACACGTAGGACTCTCGTCTAGTAATTCAAAGGAAATGCTATCATAGTATGCGGTTCGCTAGTTAACGTCAATACAGAAATGTCAGAACCACAAGCGATACTATTTTGAAATACGCTAGTAGATTATCCTAAAAGATCGATCGTTTGGTCATCTGGTTGTTCACACAAACGAACGCGGTAAACTGCCAAGTTAACCGTAATATTCCTACATCTATTATTATGCAATAGTTTATCGTCGATAAAACTTTCAAGTGTTGTAATTGAAAACGACGAGATTCTCTAAATACTGAAAATCCTTATCGCAAAGCACTACACGACGTTTGGCTAATAAATAATAATCCAATTCGAACAATGTTTCTAATTTTAGTTAAATGAAACTTACAACACTATATAATCTAACATTCAAAGATCATTTATGTGACATTTAAATGATTAATTTTTGATTTATTTGTTTGATTTAATAATCTATCGTATGTAAGATATATTAAGATCTTTTATAACTAATTAAAAATAAAGATCTATATCGCGTTAATAATCGTCAGACGAAATTTTTTTCTCTCCGAATAATCTACATGACGTGCTCTTTCGAATTTTTATCGATCTTATTGAAAGAGTCTAAATGAAAAATCATACGAAAGATAGTTAATCGAGATATTGAGGAAAACCTTATCTGTGAAAAGAATGTCTGACAACGATGCTAATCCTCAAACTCAGATTATGATTGTTGATACTTTGGAAAAATTAAAAAATAAAAAAAAAGAGAATATAACTGCAACATAAAATGATTGTAGATCATACAAAAATGACATGACATTTTATTTATTTATTTTTTTTGTTTACTATCAATATAGTGGTGGTGATCTTTAAATCCGATAAATGAAAAAGTGCAATATATGGATATGCTTTTGTTTTTTATTTTCCCTCCTACTGATACGATATATAAAAGAATAATAAATAAAATAAATTTGTTTTTATACATCGATAGATATATCGATCTATATTAAATATGAAAAATATATTTTTACATAGAATATTTTTCATTGAAAATATACGCTTACGTATACGCACATAGATAAACTACCATTCGAATGAACGAGAGAACTTGAATAGAATTAAAAAAAAAAATCAATAAAGGAAAGAAAAAAAAAATAAAGAAAATCAATCAAAATTAATCCAATTAACCATTAATCCGTATTATAACGATGATAAAGCATCAATGTTTATATACAAAAAGTATAGACAAAATAAAGTAAATTTAACTCGTCTGTAAATCAAAACGTACGATAAAAACGTACATCATATTTTTATCAAAAGATAATTAATAATTCCAAGTAGTCCTAGTCAATCACGGTACGACATACAATTGATCGGTATAACTCGATTATTATTATTATTATTATTATTATTATCTTTATCTATCTAATCTATAAAGAACAAAGAAAAGGTTGCATGATCCTCGTATAGATCCACGAAAGTGGATCGTGTTGTCGAACGTGCTATATAAATTCATTGCTCTCGATCATTTGATGAACAGACATCGCAATCGATTCACCTGAAGAAGATCAAATCATGGCAATGACAGCTCTCTTACTACTTGGCCTAATCGCCGCCTGTTACGGTAAGTTATAATTATAATTTAATAATTTAAAAATTTCAATATATATATATATAAAAAATACTATGTATATCGTTTTTATTTTAATATTAAATGTGATACAATTTTTCAATAAATAATATATAGA